GTTTCGATATGCGAAAGTGTGTAGACTGAAAATATTATTCAATTAATTTTATAAATTCCATTATACTTCTTGCTTACTTTATAAAAAAATACATATCGGAATGTGCATCCAGTTCTATATTTTAAATTAATAACTTTACAATTGTAGGCTAATATGTTAGGGCAATAATATAGCAATAACCACAAGATTCAATCAGCAAGAAAATATTACAAACAGGAAACAGGCTGCAGTGATAGCAAATTGTCATAATCCCAAGAATTTATCAGGCATGGTTTTAATTCTATTTGTTTTGTTAAAATTCGTAATAATTATTTTACACTCTGCAGCTCTTTTATTGATAGACACGTCGAAACAGGCATTTCTTGATTAATTATCAGGTCTTACTTCGAAAAAGTAATGTTATATGAATCCCTTTCATCTGTATGTTATGAATTACTGGGATAATGAAGCAAACCACACATGATTTCAACTGGTAATTAACTCTAATTTGTTTTCGTGTATTCCTTCGCCCGGAGTCATGGTAACACAGTTACCTTGTACATAGGCCTGAAGCTTGCGCTCGTCCGCTTTAAATAGAATGCAGACAAGATCTTCTCATCTGGGCGAACCTACATTGTGCTTGATGGCTTGTCTTTTCTCTACCAGCACCGCGACTGTATGAGATAAATGTTTTTCCTGAAGCTCCAAATTAACCTTTTTGTCTAAATTCTAACCCGACCATGATAAACTCTCGTTTTTAGGCTCCCTTTCAGCCGGGGAGGTCTGACCTCCTGATCATAATGTTAATTGAATGTGCCAATCAAGTTAATGAAATGAGAGGGAACAGGCGTGGTCAAGGGAATTTGAGTCTTTTGTGATCGTGATGTTAAGGGCGAGATTAGCATCCACGACGAGTGGCTAGCTGAGGGAATCCTCATTCATCAGAAACAAATGACTGGCTGTCATGCAAGGGCTGAGATGCGTCCGACCCCCCTGACCCGCCATCTAACACAAATCGGAATCAATTGTACACATTATTATCCGGGGACGGTAATTTATCTACTGTGCGCTCCAGTGGCTGCAGACAGCTTCCTTGAGTGAATTCCACTCCTCATGTTTTATCGCTCAGCGATTTGCAAGTGTGTGCTTTTAGAAGTGGTAATAAATCTGATTTAACAAGGGATGCTGGAGTCCAAACAGGAAGCAACAGAAATCTAGACACACATAATTTCTTATCAAATTTTAAATCTTAACGATAGAGAAATATATTACTAATTTGTTTCATAACATGCATGTCACTCTATACGTAAGTAAAGTAAGCATTTAAACAAGTTATTTATGTGGCCTACACTGCTCATATCAATGTCCTTTTTAGTGATAGTGTAACTTAATGTCCACATGCATTTAGTGCTCCAATGTAAAATTCAGGCACAATTTCCTCTTATTCATTCAAGAAATCTTACTTCCGCCTAAAAATCTTCTAAAAGAATGAAAGAATTGTGTTAATTGTAGATTGACTTTCTGATAATTAATCAAGGATGATTTCATTTTAATATTATCAATGCTTAAAACAAGAGACAATGATAAGACTTAAAGAAATCAATGCACCTTAATACATCTTATATTAAATTGTCATGGCACGTTTCAAGAATATTTGATTATCTCTTTTCTTTTTGAAGGGGGTGAGAAACGTGATAATTTCTTTGAGGGGTGAAAACATTTGTAAAAATGACGGATAAAGGAAGAAGGAAACAGGATAATAATTGAAGACAAAGTGCATGATTTGTATAGGTTACATTGTATTGGTAGGCTAGTGAAATCAAAGGAGTAGGACTAGTGAATTCTTGCGATCGGGACAAGAACTAGGTACATAATATTTTGGTAGGGATGTCTTTAAAAGCAGCCACATCTAATTGTAAGATTAAGATTGATATTAGGGCTATAGGCTATGAGAATGGGAGGCAAATTAAATTAGATCCGGATCGTGTCAAATAGCGGACTTTGGTATCAATGGCAGACCGTTCGATCCTCGATTCCTGATGGCAGAATCTTGTTAAACTATTTACATCAAACATTAGGTACGTAAAAAGTGCTTTAACCTTATTATTGTATGCTCCAAGATACGAATTCGAAAGTCATGGTTGACTGGCCAGTAGTAGGATCCGTGACTTCGAGCAATCGATTCTCTCACCTGAGGCCGGCTACACTGACCGTGGTTTCTCATGTTTTTTATCAATTTCTCGAAGGGTACGCTGGGGTAGTTCTTTAAATTATAACAGGATAATAATCTTTCCGTTTACAGTTATATAACTATTTTTGCTGAGAAAGTATCTTAAAATGAAGTAAGAGACATTATATAGAAGAGCTTGTAGAGTTCATTTTGTTACAATGATACGTGACATAGTGAGTTTTATTATAAAATCGGTTTTATAACGGTCTAGAGAGAGATGGTATTGACACATATGAACTTCGGACTTGGCCGTCACAAAGAAGAATGGTTACTATATCTGCTGTCTGATAATTTTCCGGATACTTCGTTATGGTCTCGTGACTTCCACTGTTCGTCTAAAAACACAACTCCACAGTCATTGTATAAGTTCTCCAGTAGCCGTGATCGTCTAGTGGTTAGGACATTGCGTTGTGGCCGCAATAACCCAGGTTCGAATCCTGGTCACGGCATGGGGTTCAATTTTTTTTAAAATGAAGATCTTATGTTTATTTTTATTTTATGACAATGGTGGCCCTGTGAGATAAGAAGAAAAATATGCTGGCACCAGATAAGGATTTTTGGCAACAGTTGGCAAGAAAATGACGGGAAGGCAAAATTAAGAACCATGTAATTGGAGAATAATTGCTTTACAATCTTCTATTTTGGATAAAAACAAATCAATAAATGATTAAACTATGTTTGCTTCTAAGAGCATGTGCTGAACGAATATATAAGGTAAAAAGCTAATTCTTTCTGTTGCGTTACAATCTAAAGTTGTCCAATTAATGTAACTACGGCAACTGTTCAGAATCCTTTTTCTTTAAAATTTACAGATTAAGACATTTTAATTTATACCACATGCTTTGTATTTTTTGATTAATTTATAATACAAAATAAAGGCCCTCTTAATTATGCCTTTTTCTCGAGGAACAGTTGCTGACAAACAATTTAATCGATAACGAAGAAAGAAGACAAACTTTTAGAAGCATGTTGATGCATTTTGGTGAAAACTGTGTTAAGTATATATATATATTAAATTGTAATTCATTCTTTTCTGGTTAGTGAGAATGAAAGCAAGCAAGGCTCAATAAATATTATGTTGAAGAGATGGGCCTATAGTCTGTAACTACGCTTATGTGGATGAAACCGAAACAATAAAATTAACAATAACACATTTCTGTAAATGACTCTTTTGAGAGTTTTGCCTTCTATCGAGGTGGACATGGCGAGTCTGTCTTTCGCTGTAACCCTTAAGCGAATTCATAATAAAAAACGGTGTAACTGATGGATTGGTTACCTTCGCTTGCTCTTACAGAACGAGGCCAAGCCCCAGCAAGGTCATGCATCAGCAGGTTATTATATGATATGATATTATTATAGGCGGTGCGTATAATTTTCTAAATGATAGACTAGGTGCCCGGCGGTAACAGTAATGCAGGGACTGGCGATGGTGGTACAGTGGGCCTATCAATGCAGAAGCTCATTACTACTAACTGATGAAGAACTACTGACGGCAGACAGAGACGGACGGAAGGACACATCACGTTGGTCCGAGAGAGAAGTTTATCCTCCGCTATCCCATTACCACTCTCTCTTTCTTATCCTTCAGCTAACTTGCTTGGTTGTGTGGAGGGATGGATGGATGGATTCTAAGTAGTTATTATTCTGATTAATAATTCCCATAACACGAGGAGTGTCCAAATGTACAACCACAGATTCTGAAAATAGAACACAACAAACTGAGGTTTTTATAGCGATGTGAGTTAAGAACGTTATCTCTTTGGTTATTTTCCTGTTTATTCTTCTTGTTATTTCCTAACGTTTCTGAGGAATATGTTGGATTTATATTTCATGTTGAGGCCTGAAGATTGAGGCAGTACGTCCCTCCGTAGTGCTGATATATAGACCTAACCAAAAGATAACATGGCGCAACAACCTAGAACAGGGGTTCTCAACCTTCTTCTCAACCACTAATTCTAATTTAACACATTAAATGCACCACTAACCAAATGCGTTCAAGGAAAACTTACTTATGTTAATATTATATTTTGATTTTCTTACTTAGTTCGCGTACCATTTAACATTGGCTCGCGTACCACCAGTGGTACTCACACCATAGGTTGATTAACGCTGATCTAGAAGACCACTGTAGGCCCAAAGAGTTATTTATAAATGCTGAATGCAAGACTTATTTGTCACAGATCAAGATAAAATCTTTTGCACGAAGAAAGTTGTAAGACAGTTGCCATATATGGATTTACATTCAGTTGAGTAGCAAAACAAATTGGTGGAATATGGTTCCTGATGGAATTTTGTGCTCTTTTTCTTAGCTCAGTCAAGAGAATACATAAAATAAGCTACTATTTCCTTCTCTTAAAACGTCCGAAGGAACAATTTGTATGACAGCTGACATCTACCTTAAGAAAAAAGGGCGACATTTTTTCAGTCGTACCTTATCCATAATTCATGGACATTTTTATCACAACAACAAAGATGTGTTCACGCAAAGCTAAAGAACAATATAAATGTGAAGTTTGAAGATTTCTGATGATTGATATTTACGTTATGTTAAATTGTTCTTTTAATATCAAGATGGATCTTAGGGAGGTGGGCTGTGAGGATGGTTAATGGATGTAGTTGGCTCAGGCTCGTGTCCGGTGGCTGACTTTGGTGCTATCGGCGTTGAACCTGCGGGTTCTACTACCAGGGACTTAAATTGTACTTTTGGACTTATCCATCGACCAAATATTACAAATTATAACGTTTCGAGAGTTATATTATAAGAACCTTTTTGTTTGGCCCCGTGTTCCAGGTTCCAGACTAACTCAACCTAGACCAGGTCGGAAGTTACATCAGCCAGGGGGTCCAACAGATTTCTTTTGTCTTCCCTTTCCACCCGATGACGTAAGTAGGATTCAACTTCCGAAACGTTGTAATTTTGTAAAATTTGGACTTCCGACAAAGTTCAAAAGAACAATTTAACACAAAGAGGAATGTGAATTTGTCATCATATACTACTTCGGTGATGACTGTAGTAAGGAGTAGTCTAAAGGGGTCCTTTGGAGGTCCAGGTCCGCAGAAAGATAGTTTCATCAATAAGAATGACGGAGTAGTCTAATTTTCCCCTTCTCCCCCTCCACGCTCGTACGTGAGATCCGTGTTCAATGAACGCAGCAAAAAGGTTTAGAGAAAAATTATGTTTAGATCTTATTGGTCCAGTGGGATTCACAAATATGAAGCCAAATAGATGGTTGGAGAAATACAGAAAATAGTGTCCTTGATCTGAAAACAGTTGCTGCTAATAAAAGATCCCAAATTTTAATTTGTTGAAGAAGCTGGATTCTGAACACATCAAGTCGTGCACAGCAACATTTTAGGTAATCTATGAAGCTCTGCTCAGGTCATATAAGATATAAGTTGAATATGATTGGTTATTGACCCTGCATTTACCGATTACAGTGCTTCACTTTATCACAAAAGAGAACATTCTGTTTATAAAGGCAATATTATCCATGATAAAAGGTAATCAGTCCATTGTAAAAGATTGAAAAGGTACGCTCTTGGGAGTATACTAAAATTCCAAAGGGATTCTTTAAGCCACATCACGGATGATGACGTCAGTGGAGCAAGGAAGCGAATAACAAATACAACAATGGTATCGAGGGCAACAGTGCTGTAGTAGGTCACTGTTGCGGTAGTGTAATCCGTGCTCTTTAGCAAAGCGATAGAATATTTTAGGAATTGACCTCAGTTCCATAGAACAACATGCTATGACCATGAATTACTACATTACATTCTATTAGATTTTTTAATTATGCAAAGATAAATAATTACGAGGGTTACTTCAAAAGTCATGGTAACTAATTTTTGGGGGGCAAACACGTTATATTGAAGAAAGTTCAAAATATACATGTTAAAGGGCACGATACACTCCTCCGATTGACGTAGTCAGATCAGGTAGGTATGAAAGGGTGTAGGTATAGTTGGCAAGAAAAAAGGCACATTACGGAATGACCGTTTTTTCATTCTTTAATCCTCGAAAAATTCAATTGTGATTTAAAAACTTCAAAAATTCAATGTGAGTTAAATCATAAAATCATAAAAGAGCAACCTTCAAAATACTCGCTGCCAACGACGGGGAAGACGGTGAATACCATCAGCTTCACCATCTCCAAATCTTTCCATCCTCCGCCGAACTGCGTTGGAAATGTCCTCTCGAGTACGAAAGCGTTTCCCTCGCAATGGCTGTTTCAATTTGGGTATTAAGTCATAGTCACATGGCGAAAGGTCGGGTGAATATGGAGGATGGTGTAGTACTTCTCATCTCCAACGTCGTAAAAGTTTCTTAAAATGGTCATTCCATAATGTGCCTTTCTTCTTGTCTACTATACCTACACCCATTCACACCTACCTGATCTGACTACGCCAATCGGAGGAGTGTATCGTGCCCTTTAATACGTATATTTTGAACTTTCTTCAATTAAACGTGTTTGCCCACAAAAAATTAGTTACCATGACTTTTGAAGTAACTCTAGTATTTTTAATTTTTATTCTTCTTCTTTTGCTTATCCATAAAAAAGTGTATCTCAAGTACCGCTTTAGATTTTTCTGTCATACATGATGATAATTTACTAGTGCAATTATAATCCTGCAGGGTGAAGACTAGTGAAAGGCCAAGAAGAAGCTAAACAGGGGATAATGAAACTGGCAGAAGCACTAAGACACCTAATTTGTGGAAGGAAAGAAAAATAGTCGCTAGATTAAATTAATTCTTTTATATTTCTTTCAATTTATGGCATCTGTCTTGACCAGCCCTACTGTCACTGCATTACACACCCAAGTTTTATTGTAGACCTGCTGAGAAAAGAAGCTCTGACATCACCAACATAATGTATTATTGAGTACGTGTACGTGTACAAAATTGTCATATATCATTTGATTTCTGCAATTCATTCAATATGCACCGGACACAAATCTTAGCAAATTTAATAACTCTTTCACCGACCAAAACACACCCAGGTGCTGGCAGGTTCCAAATATAACCATAAAGTATCTGATTGTAGTACACTATGTCTCATACAAGAAACATTCTAAAATTGCTAAAAAACTACGTTTTTTAAACAAATTTCTCTGACGTGAAAATAAATACGTAAGGATACGAGAGATCCGTATTTTTAATGTAAATGTATAGCCTTCTTATCACTATAAACGACCAATATACTACTGGTATTTCATCATAAAAGAACAACATAAACCTAAATGATGTACTTTACTATTATACAGTGCATTTATTGATTTACTAGTTGTTGAAATCTATGGACTTAATAAATAACATTATGTCCAGTGTTTAACTGTTAATTAATCCTGGTCTGAACTTGATTATGTGTTACGGCGTACCACTCAGATTTAATAGATTAACTTTCATTGGTTTCTTGTATAATGATTTTCTTCAACACCTTCGACATGAAACTGAGTTATGCACAGCTTTTTATCACATGCAATTAAGGAATTAATCTGTAGAAGAAATAAAACGTTTTGCATTGCACCAGGTTAAGCAGTCTACTGTGAAGTGGACTCTGACTGTAGGGGCGAAGTCTGGCAGTGGGAAGACCAACAGGTGGGAACACATGCAAATTGAATGATTACTATTAAATATGGGACATAAATGTAAAAAAAATGTCTAATAGCTTCAAAGTTCAGGTGACCATGAGGCGATATTAATAAAATGCTTCGAATGTGCAAACAGAAAACTTCTTTAAAAATTATCCCACGGTTCGTCCTATGTAAAGGCATCAATAAAACGGGTAGAATGCATTTAGTAATAATGTGTAGGAGACATACGTACAGCACAGTAAAGCTGTTTAACAGGAAATATAAATTGAAGTTCGTAAGTAATTATTTAAGACCTACTGACACGGTAATTATTTTAACAGTCGGTAACAAAAGTGATCATAACGGGACTTTTTTTTAACATGTTTCTATACAGGCTTTGAGGAAGTGCAGTTAACGCTTTGTGTACAGTATAAGAATTGAATAAAGTTATTACATCCTTATCTGACTTAATAGGCTTGTAAAAATAAAAAAATTAGGACATATGGTGTTGTTAGTACTTCTGTTTTTTATTCCAAATGTCTCGAGTTCAAAATTCGACCAAGTAATCGGCTACACTAGTTGAGGATATTTATAGTTTATTAATACCGTAACATAAGCCACAAACGCTTCCTTCCACATCCTTTCCAATACATGATTCAAAATTTACTGTAATGTATTACCGTTACGAAACCTCTGAAGTCGACAAAGCGTCCTTAAACAAACGATCAATTAATCAATCAATCAGCCATTGTTCGGTTTAAGGTACCATACTGGAATCTTCCTGGAGGGACTGAGATAAAAAGCTAAACGACCTCCATCAGTTCAGTCGATCTCTAAATCGAGATTTGAACCTGAAACCTGAACCGAAAAGTCCGATTCTAAAAAATGCAGTAACTCAAAGAAAGATAAGTATAAGAAACACAACATAATTGAAAATTTCTGATTATGTTACTCCTGTGAACGCATACAATAAGATTTAAGAATCCGCCTCACAAATTAAATGAGCGTCGTTTTTGCCAATCTCAAAACAACCGCGTACTATCAAAGAAGAATAAGAACTGTGCAGAAGTGTGCAGCAGCACACATCTCATTAAGCACACCAGGTGGTGCTGCAGCATCGAATATGGCTTGCATCAATTCTTACGCCTAACTTCTTACATAAATTAGGCACTAGTCAATTCTTATAGGAGTAAGATGTACATTTTTCGGACTACTGCTGCACTATAGCCTAATAAGAGCTTTCCGCATAGATCACCTGGACATCGCACTCATAATTCTATAATTCAATTGAATTTCTCGACTCTGTCCATCATCCTACTGGATGGAAAGAATGAAAGACAGGCCCCAGGTTCCAAGCTCTAAGTTATTACCAGTTCCCTGTCATTATATGTTAAGACGCATTTTAAAAACCCTTTTCAATTTCTGCTTAATGAATTCTGATCTAAATAGACTTAATTTTCATATTAGACTATACGCATAAAAGAAAAACACCCTTTAATTTAAGAGTCACAACTAATAATACGCAGCTTCCATCAGCAGGTGTTAATAATCCGGTCAGCGATCCAAATATGGGCTGTAGATAAAATGGCCTAAAGTAATATTTGAAGTGGTTATGTCATATTTCATTTTTATTTTATAATACTGAATAAAACTCCAACTAGCTCATTTGATTGTACACCTCTATGAAGAACTTATTAGAAATGCGTATAATGTATGAATAATATGCAGAGTTTGTCATTCTGTATTTGTGCGTTCATAGACTTAATCTTTCGATGCACTATCAAATTTCAATTAGAATTGTTAATGAAATCTATATTTAAAATTCCGTCACATTTTGGATGTTGCTACCTACGTAAAAATAATTCTAATCAGCTCATGGGAGCTACACGCTCCATTTCAGACATTCCAGGATGTTTACTGAGGCTTGGGGTGGTCTTGTCAAACATTTATTGTAAATTCAGTGGTAAAAACTTTATTCAAATACGTGTTCGTTTATTCTTTTAACATTCATGTATATTCGTAACTGTTCAGAACCTGACCTATGTGTATATGGCATATCTGAGAGAATGACCTTAGAAATACGCTTCTAAAATTACGGTAATAAAACCATGAATCACTCTGAATAAGATCACCTTTTAATTGAAACTACATAAAACCAGTTACATGTATAATGCTGAAGTAAATATTATTTGTGATATGGAAATGTGCCAGTTTTAATAGATTACTTTTACTGTTCTGGTCAGGTTTGATTATACTATTAATAATGACAGGATTACATGATCTATACTTTGCCTCCAAACCCAAATAAGTTCTAAAGAATCCTGCGTGTCGAGAAGAGAATTGGCACTGTTCAGGACCTACACAAACGCTAGAACTTATTTTTAAATCGTATGATGGCCATTTCATAACGAAAAGAATGCTCGAGGAGACTTATCTCTCTAAAATGGGATTGATTTTTAAGTGTTGTATTAGTTTTCATTCCACTTTTCTTATTATAAAAGGAGTGATAGACTTCATTTTATCCTATCCGCGTTTAAACTCCCTCACTCCCAAATACTATTAACCAATTAATGACTTTTCACAGAACTTAACAGTCATCATTAAATGTGACCCCACCTTTGTACTTTTCATGACAATGACACTGATATTACCACGGAGTAGGACATCGAGTTATATAGCATATTATATGATAATTTGATAACGATGTAAATATTATTAAGGGAAACACAGACACACATTAATATTATGTTATCATATGACCCAGTTCATTTATGAATTAAGGAAAGATGTTTAAATAATTTGTTCCATAAAGTTAGTTCTGCATGGAGAAATGATTAGTTTTAATATGAACGGTTAAGGCTGGAATAAATTTGTGATGGAATCGTTGTGGATGTTTTAAAAATAATTAGAAATATGTTCGTGTTTCTTGTTAGGTTATCTTTCGGTGTCTCTCTAAAGTGTGCCTGGTCGGTGCGAATAATTTATATTTAACTATTTTAACTATAGAAATTTACTCGCCAATCTCTACGGTACTCGTGTGGTCTCTCTGAAGTAGTCTACAGTCGGAAAGGAAGAATCGACAATTTTACCGTTGGCTGGTGATCAGACAAGTATCCTAGTATCAGACAGCGACAAGGCAAGGTCGGTCACTGACTGGTAGACATCTGCATTGCGTGCTTGAATGACCAAAGTCTTTATGACGTTTAAATTCAGAAACCGGCTTTCATGCATTCCTCTACAGCATTTATTGTTTTGTGAGAAAAACGAATTATTTTTAAATCTGATAGAGCCAACTAACGAACTACTGGATCCAGGGTTGTGGAAACATTGTATGGGTGTAGAACAAAATATAAATATCTAAAATATTGTTTGTAAGTCAGTAATTACAAATATGCCGATGGTGCAATATTTTGTGTTAATGTGACAAATTTAATAAAGGATATATATATATATATATATATAGTTATGCTAAAAATATAATCATTTCAAATATTAAAAACCAATGATAATAACGTTTTGAAACATGTTTACAATTCTAAGCACTAATAAGTAAAATGTGACTTAAGTAGGTTTCGATAGTATGACTCTGCGTTCTTGTCTAGAGCACTAACTCATGAGCTAAATTGAATTTCATTGTCGGATTATAAACTTATGTTATCTAAACGTAACATTAACAGCAAAGATTTGTGTGTTTTCGAAACCAAAGTATTGAATTCCCCAGCTTCGTATTCGGGAGGTCCAGGGTTCAAATCTCCACACAGATGTTTTTTGCTTTTTCTCTTACCTTTAGGCACATTCTGGAACAGTATTTTATATTAAGCCACGACCACTTCTTTCAATATTCTTTCAGTTCATTATTCATTAATCACCCCATTATCCGACACTATATTATCTGAGCTTCTGACAGCGTCGTTAAATATAACTCAAATAAATAGTTGACTAGATTTATTTAATGGCTATCTGCTGTCATAAATCTTGTTTATTTATGATCATTATCACGATGGGGTAATGAGATAAATCATAAGTGTCTCGGTATTCCTAAACGCATTCTGTTTCTCTTTGTCAATCCCACTTGATGGTTCACGCTGAATTAACAGCAGAAACACGTAAAACATTCTCTGAGACTGCAGGTCTGTCGTGTCGTTGACGCAAGATGTGAATAAATCAATCTTAATACACGAAAGGAAATGTTGTCGTGTCTTTGCCGTTACACGTCATGTCGTTAGTGTGAATCAACCCTAACAGAATTCCTGTTCCCTTCTCTTGAGCAGAACTGAGCAGAATTTTGAATGACAATTGTTACTTCTAAATTCTCTGAATTTTCCAGAATTCCGCAGCTGACTTGCTTAATTCAGTATAGGTTTTCTTTGTGAATAATAACGCGTTAGAACACATTTCATATTTTAAGTGCAAACTGAAGCTCAGATACTAATCTTTATTTCAGGAATTGTAGATAATATAAAATTGTACTCATGTAAAAATCTAAGAACAGAAACATATTTTGAATTATATTTTATAAATACCAATGTGAAACTATATGAAACAATTAATTGTAATTAATAAGATAAATAATAACTCTGAATCCAGTAAACTAATTCAGAGAATTTTGGTTTGAAACTGATAACTGCTAGCCTTAAACTCCAAACCAAGTTGTGATGGTGTGAGGCACGAGTGATAATTTTATCTGATGTTGCTCATGTTCAAGAAGACACATTTACATAGATACGCAAACTAACGAAGAATGTTAAGTATTGG